AATGGCCTGATTGGCCTGAGGGTGGGGGAGCGTGTGAAGTCTTTGCCCCCAGCCCCCACCTTGCCGGGGCACGCAGTGCCTAGAGGGAACCGCTAGTTGTTTTGAGCAGCTGGCAGTTCCCTCTGGTGTCGTGCACCCCTGACTGGGGATAGGGGGACCCTTCGGGCGCACTTCCCAATCCGTAGGTCTCGATTGGCCTGGGAGTGGGGAAGTGGCAGGGCAGCCGTGGGCTGGATCAATCAGCTTGGTGGGCCGAATCCGGCCCCTGGACACTGTCTTACCCTCCTCTGGTCTAGAGGCAAGTCAGTAAAGTAATAGCTTTTATTAAGGGTCTGTTCCTGCAATCCTTACTCAGGTGAGAAGTAGGACTGACCTCAGGATCAGGCCCTCTGAGCTCCAAAATCCCTTGTATCAACAAGGAATGCTGAGGGAAACTTTAAAAGTCACAAAGGAGTAGGGGATTTCAGTTCCCTTGATGCGTTTAAAAACCTCCCTTTTACATTTAAACAAATCAAAGTAGAAGATCCAAATATTCTTGTAGGTCAGTCCCTCATTGTACTTCCTAAGCCAATCTAAACCGGCCGCCCATTAACTATCTGACAGAGAGGCGATCATACTTATTTGGAAAAGCCATTGAGAATAGATGACAACATAGCGCTGTGTAATTTACCAAGAAAGGATGACACGCTCGTGCTGTTTTTGTTGCGGGGTGGACAATCTGGTTTGTAGCCCATGCTGGACAGGCAGAATGGATGGGAAGACTGATGTGTTTATGTAGAAGGTTGATTCATTGACTTACGCTGGGACAGGGAATAAGGAAAGTACAATGCTACGTGCAGGCTAGCTTGGGGGTTTTACATAATAGTGAGGAGGGGTAACCAAGGCGTGTTAAATAGCGAGGTGGCAAGGGGGTTGTTTATTGACTGTATATAGAAAATTATGTATGGGGTTCGTGGTTTTTCAGCCATGGTGGGTAGTTGGAGAGAGTGGAGTCTTCATAGGCAAGACACTGGCATGCCCATTTAATGACGGGTGGGTGCATTGAAGGCTGATCCGAGGTTGGGATGAGGAGGGGAGGTTCCACAATATTGTAGCTCATATGCCGGTCCTATATCTTGTGTTCCCACCATGGAAATGCACATCATGGTGTAAAAAAGTTTCTGGCCCAGAGGCTGTTGCGGGGACGTGGTGTGCGGGTGGAATTAAGGTTGAGTGGGGATATGCACTGTGACATTCTACATGTACGCCTCCTAGTTAGGAAGCTGTGAACTGTGATGGGTGCATCTGGATACGTATCTGCCCTTAACTCGTCACTTTCTACTCTTATGTTTTGTTTTACTGACCTATTTTTTACTTACAGAGCAGCAGCCTGAAGTGCACAAAGTCTGATAGCCAGGACAAACTTGCATTGGCTGATGGCTCACTCTGCAAGCTGGATGCTGTCCCCTAGCAACTGGTCAGATCTGAGGAACATTTTTGAGGGTGTGAGATGTTCCACAGAACGGTGCTGTCGCCAAAACTTCTCTTGCTCCCTCTAAATTGGGGCCGGCATTTAAATAACTCCATGGATTCCAGCCTTTGGGGTTTTTTGCTTTTTGTAAATCCTTTTATAGCAGCATTTTGCAGCTGAAGGAATCAAAATGAAATTATCAAGATTAAACTAGCCCCAGCAGAGGCAAATCTAGGTCCTGACTTAGATGGAGATGGCATCGGGGAGCAGTTTTTTCGATAAGAATCCAGCTTATTTCAGATTTTTGACTGATGATGCTAGCAGGCTGTCGGAAGCAGGGGTGTTACCTTTCCCACTTCAGGAATAATTCATTCACTATTTCTTTTACTACTTCTTTGTTGCTTATTATTTTACCAGCATTGCGGTTGTGCCCAGAGCTCCCAGCCGAATTTTGGGCTCTGACATTCTAGATGCTGTACCAATTCTGAGAAGGAGCTTACAGTCGAAACAGACAAGACAGGTGGGCAGGGAAACAGTGTTCCAAGGAGTTGTTCCAGGTGTGACAGCAAGTCTGAGGCAGAAGCATGAGAGGAATCCACACCTCATTAATCCCGGAGCAAAGCTGAATCTACAGCCGCTCTCCGAGTTACGACCACCTCCACTTACGACCATCTGCACTTAACGACCAAAGTGGTCGTGAATGCAGATCCAAGTTACGAACACTTTGAGTTACGGTCCGTAACTTGTTCGTAACTTGGGGAGAGGCTGTACTAGACTGCATTGCCTCCAACACAAAGAAGCTTCCTTCTCACAAACTAAACACACACATGCTCCTTGGAGAATGCATGGCCTTAAAAAAAAAAAAAAAGCTAACTACAGATCTGTGAAGTTCAGCTTCAGGCTTAAACACTGAACCTTGATCTGCCCTCTCTTTGGAAGGTGTTAAGAGGCAAACAACCCGCTGCTCTTACCCCCGATAGAATTGTGGATGTTGGCATTCTAGAGATACCAGTCAAGGCTATTTGGAGAGTTCACAATACTGCAGAGCCGTCACTCAGTGCTTGCACTTACAACATTTTTCAGTCTGTCCGCAGATCAACTGGGAGGACCCCAGGACTCAGTGTACCACAGCCTGCGGAGTGGGAGTGGACAGACAGAAAGGTTTTGGAACATGCTAATTTGGAAAAACCAACCCCTTTTGTGGGATAGGCTTGGGTTTGATGGGACTCTTGTGGGAAATGTTTCTCCGTTCCTGCACACAAAAGTGAGATTCGTCACTGAATAGCCAATAAGCGACGGGTTAGGGCATCCCCCTGGAATGCTGAACACCCGCCTTCTGCTCGTTGCTTTGTCGGATGTCGAGCAGGACTATGAAACGAAATGTCAAGCATCCTACCTGAGGATCCCTAACCATCAGCCTACTGCAGGGGTGGGCAAAAGGGCCTCCATGTGTCAGATCCGGCCTGCCAAGCAGGTTGATCTGGCCCACAGAGGCCTTGCCATTCCCCCGTCCCCAAGCCAATTAGAGCCTGGGAGGGGGAGGGGAAAGGGGGAGCGCACAAAGTTTCCTGCACGCTGACAGGAGCACGCAGCACTTAGAAGTGCCATGCACTCCTGGAAGGGCAGGAGGAGACTTTGCGTGCTCCCCAAGCCCTGATTGGTCTGGGGACAGAAGGGGGAGTGTGTGAAGTCTCCTTCCACTGCCAGAGACATGGGCGCCTGGGGGAATCTCTGGGGTGGGCAAAGACTTCACCCGCTCCTCCACCCCCGAACCAAGGGTCTGTGTTGGGAAAGCAGGGAAGTATTCTGGCTCCGCCCCTTCTGATGTGGCCTCCGGCAAAAAATTATTGCCCACCCTTAGCCTACTGGCTATTGTGAGGTGGGTGACTACACCTGGGTTTCACAAAAAAACAAACCAAAACTATCTGGTTAGTGTCTAGTAAGCTTTTGTCCTGAAAGCCTTTTTGAAGCCTGCCTGACAGAAAGATTTTGGAAAATGCTTATTTGGAAAATCCAGCCCCTTTCGTGGGATAGGCTTGGGTTTGATGGGACTCTTGTCGGAAATGTTTCTCCGTTCCTGCACACAAAAGCGAGATTTGTCACTGAAGAATAGCCAATAAGCTACGGGTTAGGGCTGAGGATGGGTACATTCCTCTTGCACTCGGCTGCTTTGCTTGTGCATGGCGTTGGAGCAGTGGTGGTGGGGAGGCCAAGCGTAATAGAGCAAGGGAGGAATCTTCTGTCCAGTTCTTACAGCTGCAATTCAAGAAGAATGTTGATACACTGGAGGGATTTCAGAGAAGAACCAGGAGACTGATTAGAGATTTGGAAAACCCACCTGGTAACGTTTCAAAGAGCTTAATCTCTTGAGCTGAACAAAGGAGTGATTTGTTGGTGATCTGTGATTACCTACGTGGAGAACAAATATTTAAATAATGGGCTCTTCCATCTAGCAGAGAGGCTTAAGCTGATGTAAGGGCTGGACAAATTCGGACTGGAAATAAGGGGTAGATTTGTGATAAGGAAAGTATTTAACCACTGGAACTACTTACCATGGGAAATGGTTGTCTCCCCATTACCGGCCATTTTTAAATTGAGATTCACTGGTTTCCTACAGATCTGCTCTAGGAATTATTTTGGGGCCGTTCTCTGGTCTGTCTTTCACAGGAGGTTCAGACTCGATCACAATGGGCTCTTCTGGTCTAGGGACCGATGAATAGAGTCCTGTAAATTGGTGGATATCCACTTTATAGCCATGGGTATCTGCAATCGCTGATGTCAGCGCAGGTATCTGCGGGTCATTTGTGCAGATACAGAAGTGGATGTAGATACAAATCTTGTATCTGCGCAGGACTTTATCCATGAATCTCCTTTGCTCCAGTACCTCTTCTCCTCCAAAATCCTGCCCCCTGCCCCATAGCTCCAGTTCTTATTATTTTCCCACAAGGTCTGGCCCCTTTGTAGACATTACTACTCCTCAACTTGTGACTTCCCCACCTCCATGCTTCTGTCTATGCTGTCCATCGTTCATTCACATAGGAAAGGCAGGAATTGCTTTGCGTGCAGGCAGACAAGACATTCATTTCATTGTGTCCCTTTCCCTTGAGATTTCCTGGCTGGTCTCGTTTGCATTAAACATGCTCAGGAAGGGGTGATTATCAAGTCAGTAACAGCTGGTGATAAAACTGGGTGCCTGGAGAGAAGGGGAGAAGAAGCAGAGTAGCGGGGCTGACGATGCAAGCAGGAATTGGAAAGCTGCCAAGCAAGGGGCGGGGGGCTAGCTGAGAGGTATGCCCTTTCGTCTGCGCTCACTGGCATTCTATTGGTTACCGAGCTGCTGTTTAAAGCAGACGCGCTCGGAGGATTTAGCTGCACAGCCAGACACGGGGTTGCCGCCCACCCGGCCGTGCACCGAGAAGGGGAGAGGTGCACACAGGAGCTTGCTGAGTGTTCAGATTTTGATTTCTCCTGGAAAGAAGGAAAGAGGGGAAAGAAAGAGCCCGGAAAAGAAGAAAAGCTGATTAGATTCCATAGCCCCGGGGGGCAAATAATGGATGCAACCATATTACAAATCATCATAGATGAATTTAATGCCAACTGCAGCTTTCTGGATGCTTTCCGGGATACTTTTTTGGAGAGTTCCTCTATTCCCTTCCTTGAATTTGATGGTAGGATGCGTTAGCCTATAAACAGGGCTTGGTGAAGCCTTCAGTTAAGATTCTTAGAATTGCACATTGCTTTGTGATAGGAATGGGTTGCTTCGGGGATTTCTCAATCGCTTCTCTTTCATTTGTCTTTTTATTGTGAAGGTCCATATTGCAATGCCACCACCGATCAGATAGGGACCTGCTGGCCCAGGGCCACTGCTGGGGAACTGGTGGAAAGACCCTGCCCGGAGTTTTTCAACGGGATCAAATACAACACCACACGTAAGTACAAACTCCCTCTTCTGTCATTTACTTGCACTGAGAAACACTTTTATGAAGCCCCTTAACAGTGGCCTCGTAAAAAGCAGTTTCCTCAAGGGTTTGGTTGGAATTGATACGTCCTTCTCATTCTGAATGATGCAGACAAATTCCTGTCCTCAGTTATGCCGGTTTAACATAAACTTGGCCTTTTGAACACTTAGCTGTGTATGTTTAGGCAGCTATTGAGAAGAAAACACACCCTATGGTAAGGAGACAAGGAAATTGAAATGTGCCAACTGAATTTCTTATGTGTTTATAAGTGTGATCCTGGCTTGTGGGTTTGTGCACATGTGTTTCAATTAAAGTAATTATCTCTCTGGCTTGCCTCAGTCCTCAAGCTTAATTAATAAATTGGTGATGTGCTTGGGAACAACTAACCCTCTGGAGGGAACAATGTGGGTCTGAATAGAGATTAGAGTGGACTGAAAAGCCCTGAATTCCTTATTCTAACAGAGGCTGAGGTGCCGAATCTATTTAACTTCACTGATAGTTTGCTTATTAGTTAGGAATGGATGCGCTGCTTTAAGCCGGTCGTATCAGGAACTCAGGTGAGCCTGTATAGGAGGTCACTAGGCAGGTCAAATTTACCTACACAGTAAAGTGCAGCCTTCTGCATATTTTACAGATTGTTTGCGGTTGGCTAGAAGTATTTTCATAACTAAACAACAGTGACTCATCAGCACAGGATGGAGTGGGGTTTGTGTTCAGGCTGTGGGCTCAGGCATTCATTTCCCCTCATTCTGGTCAATATTGATGTATCTGTTTAGGAGCTTTTACGTGATTAAGTGGCCCAAATATGAGCCCCGCACGTGCTCCGTTGGTGAGCATACTTTTTGCAATGTGTGTTTCTGCTTCTCTGGAAGTTGCACTGCGTCCTTATCTGTGTGGGGAATGAAGTCATATTGATAACATTTTAGTAGTTTCTTAGGGTCCAAATTCACTCAGATTTCTGTCAGTAAGTCAGGGAATCTTGTGTCTTTCTGAGAACTTGATTTGCACTGGTTGGATGTGGATTTTTCACTCATTTTAAGGGTTAATGGCCAGATTTGCAAAAGGGAGCAATGGCCCGTTCCTCCTATTTGAGAGCCAGGGGAGCTGCAGAGGGCCCTGTACACCTGAAAATCAGTGTGGGATCCTCATCTCTGCAACTCTCCCACAGGCAAAGTGCCCAGTGAAGTAGGTTCACCTGGGCGAAGGCTGCAGGATTAATGTTCTGTGAGCTGTGTTCTTTGTGGTGAAATGGGCTGTGTCCTTCTCAGGGCCAGATCCTGCCATCCTTTCTAAGAATGAACACTTAGTTACTTCACAAGCAAGTACCATTGAAATCCGTGGGAGCCAGGCACAACCCCTGAAGAGTGCGAGTATTGGAATCCAGCTCTACAAGGGCTGCCGATGTGCTTTCCGTAGAAGCATATGTACAAGAAGGGGAATGTTAATCTTTTGTTTCCCTTTTCTGTGTAGGAAGTTGGTTTAATTGATTTCCTGAGTTTGTATACTTCCTAAAGGGCTTAATAGAAACAGCATGGCATGGTTATTAGCTATTTGCATCAGTCAAGACAAACAGGAGAGATGTTAAATGGATTTCTTGTGCCCAAAACAAAAAGACTTAAAAATCAGGCTGATGCTCTTCATAACAGAGATTTTCAGTAGTCCTTCATTTAATTGGAAGTCCAGTCTCTTCTGAAAAATGTCTCAGTGGTGATTATTTACCTTGCATTAGCAGGAAACTTTCTCTAAATACCCTTTTCAGAGATCTATGGCACAGTTATTATGGCTTAACATAAGTTACATACGCTTTCCAGGATAACATGCTCGCCAGATAAACAACGTGCGGATACTACATATGAAAATCTATTTGCAGGTCATATGAAATGGATCATTTTTTTTCCTTTCAAGCTTGTGTCTAAATTAGAAAAATGTAAATACATGCATGGTAAATTTGAAGTATATTTGCACTGCTGTTCAATAATGCAGAGATTAGGGTTCTGCACCAATGACAGCCGGTAGAAGATATTTAGAGAAATTCTACTCTTTAGTGCTTTTAGCTATGGACTCAAGCCTTCAACTCCTTGCTTATGAAATCAGCTGCTTAACAGCCAGCTTGCGTATGCTTCACAGGAAACTGTTAATTGTTAATCGATAGACTATAGTTAAGATGCAGTTACTTCTATACTTTAAAGAGATATCAGTTTACAAATTTGGGGCATGTCTGATATTCCTGGAGACCCATCTGCTTGCCACACTTTGGCTATTTTTACTTTCACTTAGATAGTTCATTAAATATACCAGGATGCCCTTTGCTGCAGATCCCAATGTATTTGGATATAGATTGTGTAAATGCAAATGCAGGTTGAAGCTCTGTAGTCCGGCACTCTGGTCCAGCAACATCCATGATCCAGCATGATTTTAGTTAGCTGATGTCCACTTATCATGGGTGTGGCCAAGTTTCCCATAGTCCCATAAAGTTTGTTTATAGCCACAAGTCCTGGCTCTCAGTGTTCTGTGCTGTTATTTAGCTTTAATTTACCCCTAAATGCCTTCGATGAGCCTAGTAAGCAGTGGAAGTGGTAATGCTGCTTGACAAGATTGACCTCCCAAGGTTCAGCAAATTCTCTGATTCAGCACTAGTCAAGTCCTGTGGGTGCCAGTCTAGAGAGGTTCAATCTGAAGTAAAATAAGAATAGTCACATAGCTACAAACAGTAACTCAGTCTCACAAATAAGGGCAAATAATCCAACCGTAAAGCGAGGGATTGCTTTGGAGATGATTTGCATTGCCACAAGAGATTTCTGCCAGGATGCTTAATTCAATTTTTTTCTGCTTTCGGCACAACATCATGATGAATTTTAAATTGAACCAAGAGGTAGGCAATAGTTTGATGTCATTCTCTGGTAAGTGCTGTACTCTTTATCTGATTCCTTGGACAAAAATGGTCATTCTGCAAAATTCATTACATCAGAAGTTTGTTTTAGCTGTTATCCTGTTGATAGGAAGAAGGAAAATATTTGGTTATTAGTTTGAGGGTGGTTTCTCTTTAGGAATCAGTATGTGTTTTTGTGTTGCATATTTAATCTCTGTAAAGTCGTGGGAATCGAATAATGAAGAAGTGGATCTCGTTTTCTATAAATAGTGGGCTCTGCTGGTATGAATCTCTCTAGCGACTCTGCCTTCTGTGTAGTTTGACTTAACACCAGCTGAGGATCTGATCCTCTGAGCCAAATTAATGGAGTTACTTGCGAGAGGGGGGATGAATTTGACCCCGTTTGCCACCAAAAGTAAGATCATGCAGGAAACATTGGGAACTCCAGTGTATGATCCGTAGTCTCTACCCCTAATGCCTCAGCTGCAGCTCTGCCAATTACACAACCCCATGCACTGAGATGCAGTAACAACACAAACCCTCAAATGATCCAGCAAAATTGATCCAAAAGGCACTAAAGGCAGAAGAAGAAAACTACCCAGAGTCATAGACACTTGCATTCATCTTTGATACGGAGAGCAGCTTGTGATTGTAACTAAAATTCTACTCTGTTAGTTACCCTGGGATTTCTTATTTTCTGGACGCTGTATGGACTTTCTGCCCTCCTTATCCAGTGTGCTCCATTATGGCAGGGAATTCTTTTTTTCTCCTCTACATGTTTTGTGAAGCGAAGGCATGTTAACAAACACAGCTCTACTCTTCCTTGAATCTGATGCACCAGTCAGTGCAAACGAGGTAGAGTTCTGCGGTCAGAGCTCTGGCAATGAGGCAATGTAGTTGTTAATGTGCTTTTCGTAGACTGATGCTACGAATTTGCAAAGAAATAAGACCACCATCAAAATTAAACTAAAATCCTCCCGGTATATATGTGGCTTTGTATGTGTGTATAATCAATGGCCAAAAAACCCTTCTCTTAATGTGGAGTTAAGGTAGCTTTGTGGTATGTTGTCCCCTTGTAGAACATTGAGGGGTCCTATCAGTAGCAAACCGAGCCCTGGTCTACATTAGGGATGTATTTCAAAACAACCTCCCTTATTTTGAGATAATAAGCAGAGCATCCACACTGCCAAGCCCGTTATTTTGAAATAACGGGCTGGTTGTTTCGAAATCTTCTCCTGCTTTCCTCGGGAGCATTAGTGTGGATGCTCCGCTGCTGCTATTTCAAAATAACCACTCCCCAGAGTAATAGTAATTACTCCCCAGTGCTTCCTGGGGCTCTAAGTCCAAGGTAGCATGTCCTCAGTAACAGAGCCTGCCTCGGACTAATTTTGAGGCTCCCCCATAGTGGGGACACACTTAGGGTTGCCAGGTGTCCGGCATTGTACTGGACAGTCCGGTATTTGCACCTTCTGTCCGATAAAAAAAATCAGAATATACCGGACATGTGCAATGTCCAGTATTTTCTGATTTTT